TGTGTGTGTGTGAGTGAGTGAGTGCGTGTGTGTGTGAGTGCGTGAGTGAGTTCTGACCTATTATTTCCCACCGGATGTTACAGAAATGAAACATGTTGTGACTGCGATGGTCTGGAATTTTGCGATGAACGACAGATGTGTTTTCTGTGTTTCTCAGGAGAAGGACACGTCTCTGTATCGTCCGGCTCTGGAAGAACTGCGGCGTCAGATTCGCTCCTCCACGACCTCCATGACATCGGTGCCTAAACCGCTCAAGTTCCTGCGACCGCATTACGCCAAACTCAAGGAGATCTACCAGAACATGACGTCAGGAGACAACAAGGTGTGCATCTGCGGCGTCAGTCAGGCAGCGTGATCTGAGGAGTGTTTGTGTGCGGTGTGACAGTCTCTCTCTCTCCGTTTCACAGCAGTTCTGCGCTGACGTGGTGTCTGTTCTCGCCATGACTATGAGCAGCGAGCGAGAGTGTCTGAAATACCGTCTGCTGGGCTCACAGGAGGAGCTGGCCTCATGGGGACACGAATACGTACGGTACGACATGCTAGAGACACTAACATTACACTAGTGTCATGCTAACTGGAACTAATGGAAATCATTTTTAATATATGTTATGAAAAACTAAAATTAGTGATGTTGCTTTGACCACTAACTGAAATAAGTACTAAAATTACAAAATAAAGGTGTTATTTTTTTATTTTAATTTGCATTTTAGTAATTTTTTAATGTGTATTTTATTTTATTTTTTATATTTCTAATTAGCTTTATTTATATTTAAGTTAAAAATATTTATAAATACTATAAACGCTAACTGAAATAAGTTTAAATAGAACTACTAAAATTACAGCAAATTTTAATTTATATAATTCTGGTTTTCATTTTAGTTTAAGTTTCAGTAATTATGTGCTCTTGTCATTTTTATTATTATTATATTTTTACATTTCTAATTAGCATTTATTTTTCATTTCAGTTCGAAATATTTATAAATTTTATAACAAAAATTAGAAAAGTTGCTTTGGTCAAAAATAATTGGTTTGTAGATACAACAAAAATGCATGATTTAAATTATTATTTACATTATTATTATTATATTATTTTTATAATTATCATTATTATAATTATTATTATATATTATTTTTAAAATCAGAATTTATTTCTCCCCTCATATAGATAAACAAATATTGCTTTGGATATTTTTTAAACAACAATTTGCATTTTTAAAGGTACATAACATAATGAATAAAATTAAAATGAAAACTGAAAATATGAAAAAATAAAAGCAAATTCAAAATATTTATAAATTATATAAACAAAGCAAAAATGTTGTTTTGGCCACTAACTGAAATACAATGTTTAGGTTTCAAGTATTAAAATTACTAAAACTACAAAAAAAAAAAAAATCGAAATATGCGCACACACACAAGTGCACACACAAGCACACACTCTCACAAGTGCACACACACACAAACACACACACACAAGCGCACACACACACACAAGCACACACACTCACAAGTGCGCACACACGCACTCGCACTCACACACACACGCACACACAAACAATTGTGCTCAATTCATCAGAGTGCATTATTAGGAATAAAAAAAGCTTTTCTTTGGAATATTAAATGAAAGTTTATCAATTTGCTCTGCAAATTGGGTGTGCAACTTAATGCATGTCAACAGACTGATACATTTATGAACGTAGTAGTTAGCTGCATCTCTAAATATATCAATACATGTAAATATATCATCGCATTGAGGGTATAGGAGGCTGATGGTGATGTGCGAACACACGGCTGACATTCATTTGTTTAGTTTGGTTGCATGGCCTGGAACGGTCGGAGCCGTGATGTCGCTGACAAGCTGCTCTCCTTCAGAGACATCAGAGACGCTCCACACGCCTCCACAGAGACACAGAGTAGCATCCTGAGGAGACCCCAACCTCCAGCACGGTCACACCCAGATTCACTGCCAAACATCGCCTTAACCAGGGTGCTTAACTTTTACAAATATCTAAGCATTCCCACAACAAGATGTTCCGTATGTTTTGTTGTGAATGTCAAAGGTCATGTGTTCAGTCAAACTATTTTGGAGCAGTGTTATTTTAGTATCACTGATATAATATTATAGTTTTTTTATACTATAATATATTTTACTATAATATGTGCATGTATGTATGTACAGTATATGTGTGTGTCCTAAAGAAAAACCAGCTGAGCATTGAGATTTTATTGCGCTTTGTCATGTTAGTATGAATTTCAGACATGCCCAGGTTTGCAGTATTTAATGTGAAGTTGAAGATGTTTTGTCGAAGGTGAATTCGGTGCAGAACGGCTCCGTCACACATCAGACAGACACACTCGTTTAATCAATCTGAACACTTTATGAGGTGATTGGACAGAGCTCTAGCGATGCAGGACTTACTGAGCGCACTTACATATGTGTTCGAGCCCTTAACAAGCAATTATCCTAATTACACACCTGTAAAAAAATCAATTCTGCAATACATGAGCTATTTTAAAGGCCTACGATCAGTACCTGCTCTAACTGAACTGCATTAAAATTCAACAATATAAACACACCTACTTATGCTTGATTATAATTATTTTTACATATTGCAGAAGTCATAAGAATGTTTTTAAACACTACACGTAAGCTGCTCGAATTCAAACATTAGATATTAATACACTGAAAAAAAATGGTGTAGAAGCAGTTTTCGCTCAGAAATTACTAGTAAATTTCACAAATAATTACAAAGAAATAGCAAGTAACAAAATGAATCAAACATGAAATTATGAAGTGGAAAGGCTGTATTTAAACAGAAAATAATAGTAATAATAGTATTAGAGTAATAAGTATGTAAAACATACTTCAATAATCTTAGTTTTATTTTATGACTTTGAAATATTTATTATTATTTCTATTAATTAATTTATTTATTTATTTATTTTACAGTGTATATATATGAAAATGTTTTGTTTGTCTACAAAACTAATTTTTGTTTGGCTATTAAAACTAAACTACACTTTAGATGAAAAGCTTGGATAAAATAAAAAAAATAATAAAATAAAAAATACAAAAATAAACAAAAATAATTAATAATAATTAATAATTATTAATATATTATATTCTTATTGCTATATTAATATTATTAATATATCAATTAATTAAATGTGTAAATGTGTGAGTGTGTGTGTGTGTGTGTGTGTGTGTGTGTGTGTGTGTGTGTGTGTGTGGGTGT